CCCTCTTAAAAAGTAAAAAGGGTGCCGATGTTAATCGCATCTGGTTTTTGAACACTTGTGAGTGTTCAGATAAGAGTCTAAATGAGAGGCTCAAAGGGACTCAGTTCAGGTTTGTGTAGAAGTGTCTGTATGGTGCTGGAGTTATAGATTCTCCTACTGATCTTTGTAAACAGATTAATTAAGACACATGGGTGAAATCTCACACTACATGGTCCACAATTATCATAGAACATCAGAAATATAGAGTGATACATTGGCTCAGTGGTTAGCATTGCTGCCTTGTAATGCGGGGTCCCTGGGCCCAATTCCTGGGGTGCTGTCTGTGTGGACATTGCATGTTTTCCTACTTGAATTCATATGTTCTCCCCATGTTTGAGTGGGATTCCTCTGGGTACTCTGGTTTCCACCCACAGTCAAAAGACATGCAAGGAAAAGTGTCCCCAGTGTGAGTGTGTACGTGTCCATATCTGTGTGTGTCCTGAGATGGACAGGCGTCATGTCTAGGGTGTATGGCTTGCTGGGATAGGGTTCGGCTCTCCTGTGACCCTGATTTGGATAAAGTGGTTGGAAAATGGATTGATGGATATAAATGGAAAAATAATCTGTTGAGGTGTCTTTTATTTGTAATATCCTGTTTTTCTGAAGATGTTTCCTGATTTATTCGGAATTGTCCAAATTACATTGTTTCCCCCGCTGTTTATAAACTGTTGCAGACTGTTAGGAAAATGTCATTAACCTGTTTGTGTAAGACTCTTAATCTCGTCAGTTTAGAGCAAAAACAACTGAAGAAACAATCCTGATGTGTGTTAATGTCAACCCAGGTACTGACTTTTCAACCATTAGCATGGGGGCATCTGAAAGCTAAAAGGGAATACATTCTCAGACAGAGAATAGGAAAAACTTGTTTACCCAGACAGTGGTGGATGTCTGGAACAGGCTCTGTCAAGATGTGGCAGGATGAAATTTTAGATCCGCTTAGCTGCTAAGTGAGCAGGATGAAATTGCACCTTTTTTAAATTGCAACTTTTTCTATGTTGTCAAACACAAAAACTACAAACAGTTTGGGGTGAAGTGGTATCATGTGGCACAAATAGAGTAATGAAGTGGTTATAGGTTTTTGTGACCAAGACATACAGTAATGTTACAGAACTTCTCTCTTTCAAAAGCTAAATCAGCCTTCTTTCCTGCT